CTCCGAAGTCGATCCAACAGCCACCGAGTCTTCGTACCGTATCTTGTCAGTTCTTGGTCACTGAATGCGAATCCGGCCAGTCCCATTATTACTAATAAGGGCGGCCTGGACGGAGTGACATCTTGATCGTATCCGAGACGCGACAAAGGTTCGGTAGTGGCCATGTTGGGTCTCTTGCACTTCAACGCCACCTCCCATAACGTGGCTGAGTGTTCGTGGTCACCGCTTATTCGAATCTGGCGCACCCATGTCACTGGCGATGGCCGATGACCTTGCTGAAATCGCTACACCACAAAGCTCTAGAAGCAGAGCAACGATCTCAAAGACAGGAATTGGCTGACGACGCAGTACGACAACGTCGACGACAGAGTGATCCAAGTACAGTGCAGAGTGAAGGACGTGCACGAGTGCGTCTTGTGGAACGGAAGTGTGGTGATAACGTCGTGATAAACGATGACGACGTCGTGAAATACGCAGAGGCCGACGACGGTCTACCAACAGCAAAGATGACGGTGGATGGCGTGTGCAAGAGCGTGAAGTTAGACAACGTCGCGCGTTACAGTGTGGCAGGCACCGAGTGAATGCGGTTCGGCTCCCGAATTTCGTGCACAGCCCCAGTGGACTTGCGGAAGGAATTGGAGGTTTATTATTGGACGTGCTAGTAGTATGGAGGCTCGAGCTTACTAGTGTCTTCAATGAAGTGATTCATGTTGATGCTTGTATTATTGATAGTTGTACGGGCGAGTTCCTATTAGGCGTAGACTTTATGCGTGAGCATGGCGCTACGATGGACTTCGCGAAGAACGAGTTGACGTACAAGGAGTCGGTGCGTGTGGTTGTTGTCCTGTTCAAGACATTTGGTACGATGAATAGTGTGAAGGTGGCAACAGTGCGCATGACGAGCAAAGCACGGCTCGACAGGAGTACTGTTACTCCTATAGAAGTTGCAGTTACAGCGGAGGACGGTGAGTGCGGCATTTTCGTGCCGACGAGGACATTGGGGTCAGTTTAGTTGTCGGCGACGGTGACGAAGGCTCATAATGGAAAAGCGTCGGTTCCAGTGATTAATATTGGCAAAGACAGGGTGTAATTACCGACGAAGAAGGAGTTAGGCCTCTGGACCCCGATTGACAAGGACGTCGAGGTTCTGGAGATCAGTGGACCGCTGCGAACGGATCAGTTACTTGCGTGGTTAGACAAATTGGGCGAGAATGACGTACCCTTGGCGAATAAGAACGAAGTGCAGATCGGCACCAAGGACGAGACGAGTCGTGACTTGATATTGAGGTTGTTGAGGGCATATCGGCGGTTAGTGACGGACACAAGTGACTGCCCGCCAGCCAAGGCATTAGAGATTGAGCACCGTATCGACACGGTTAATGCAGCACCCACTATGCAAAAGCGTAGACGACAGGTGCAGACAGAGGACGAAGTGGTCGATGGGAATGTAGATAAAATGTTGAATGCCGTTGTGATCGAAGAGGGCAATGGGGCGTGGTGCTTCCCTGTTGTTCTGGTGAAGAAGAAAGACGGGGAAGTGATATTTTGCGTGGATTATCGTGCTCTTAATAAAGTGACGCGCAAATACGTTTTTCCCTTGCCTAGAATTGACGAGACTATAGAAGCTTTGGGTATTTACGGCACTCGACGTAAAGGCTGCATATTGGCAAATTCGAGTAGCGGCTGAAGATAGAGTGAAGGCTGCGTTTACTACGAAGAAGGGACTCTACCAGTTTGTTAGGATGCCCTATGGCTTAACTAACGCGCCTTCAACATTTTAAAGGATGATGAATAGTGTCTTACGTGGGTTAACTTGGACTACCTGCTTAGTCTACCTCGACGACATAGTTGTGTACATGCGTGGTGGCATCGAGAAGCATGTGTTGAAGTTGACATGTGTGTTAGAACGGCTTTTGGCGGCGGATTTGATGCTCAAGTTGAAGAAGTGTTGAATTGCGACGGAACAGATTTAATACCTTGGCCACGAATTGAGTGCTAAAGTTGTGCGTCCATTAGATCGACTAGTTAATGCAGTGGAAGATTTTCCGAGACCACGTGATGCTACGGAGGTCAAGCGCTTCGTGCACTTAACATGCTACTATAGCCGGTTTATAGCGGGGTTTGGACCGTTGATGGCTCCTATAACGAAGTTTTTAAGGAAAGGCGTCGAGTGGGAGTGGACTGAAGCTCAGGAAGACGCGTTTGAGCGATGCAAGTCGGTGTTGACGGAGAAACCGGTGTTGGCCTATCCAGATTTTTGATTGCCATTTAGATTCGTGACGGATGGTAGTCGAGTTGGTCTTGGAGCATATTTGATGCAGGATCAGGGCAGTGGTTGGCAACCTATAGCTTACGCGAGTAAAGTGAACAGCCAGACTGAATCGAATTATGGAATTACAGAATTGGAGTGTTTAGCAGTGGTGTGGTCAATTAAATTGTTTCGTCCTTTACTGTATGGGCGTCGATTTACTATAATTACTGATCATTCAGCCCGG